TGCACAAGAGGAGCAACAAAGAAGAGTTGCACAAGAGGAGCAACAAAGAAGAGTTGCACAAGAGGAGCAACGAAGAAGAGTTGCACAAGAGGAGCAACGAAGAAGAGTTGCACAAGAGGAGCAACAAAGAAGAGTTGCACAAGAGGAGCAACAAAGAAGAGTTGCACAAGAGGAGCAACAGAAAAAAGTTGCAGAAGAACTGCAAAGGAGGGCTGCTCAAGAGGAGCAACAGAGAAGAGATGCTCTAGAGGAGAAGCAAAGGAGAGCTTTCCATGAACAACAGAGAAGAGTAGAAGAGGAACTTTGGAGAAAGGCTGCACACGAAAAGCAGCAAAGGAGATCAGCTCTGATTGAGGAGCAAAGACAAGTTAAACAGATCAAAGAGAAGATAGGTGTTGATATTCAAGAGGAAACAGAAGGAAAACCAAAAGAGGACAAGAAACCTGCTCAATTTTCTGAGGAGGAAAGGATCAATCTGATCCATGAACAGGAGGAGCAGCATGCTAAAGAACAGAGGGAAGAAAGACATCTGGAAAGACAATGGATGAAAACCCCCAAAAGTGAGGAAAGAAGTGAAAACGAGAACATTTTAAAACAAAGAGAAGAAAAGCAAGCCAAACACAAGAGTTCAATGCTACTTGAGAAGAACACTTTTGCACAAGAACCGACGCTGGCTAAAAAAGAAAACGATGCACAGTATGAAAAGAAAGAAGATGAAAAGGTAAGAAGTGTTCAGATCGAGAAGCAGAAGAGAGCAGCGCAGAAGTTGGATGCTCTGCAGTATTATGCTATAACCCCAACCGATACAGAGAAGAATCTCAAAGAAAGACAGCTGTCCTCCCCTCCTCGGCCTCACAAACCAAATGCTGCAGCATCTCCAGCTCCACCTCTGCCTCGTTCCAACACCTCCTCTCCTGCTCTCGGAGTCAAGCCTTTAATGTTTAGAGTAAAAGATAACACGTTCAGAGGATCCTCTTTCACTAAGTCAGTCAAACCACGATTCCATAAGAACTTTGGAGAGGACTTCTGGATTGGTTCTCCCTCAGACAGGACATCAGACCGAGCAGAGGATGATCAGGAGACCATGAGACGAAGTGCTGGAACTCCCGTCAGTCCTGAAAAGGGTTTCAACCAATTTGCTCTGGTCAGTGAATCCGCAAACTTCCTCTCAGAATCATCGTCGCAAGACTATTCAAACTCCATCCCTCACCAAAGGCCTTACTCCAGGAGAAGCATGGCAATGGACGACGAGTCCCGCTCTGTTGTCAGCAGCATGTCCGAGGACGTGGAGAGCTTTGCAACCGGTGCAACAGATGTGGCAGACATACGAGGGCTGTTCGACAGTGAGAGGCCTGAATCAGCTTGTAGCGTCAGCAGCGACGTGTCCCGCTCTCTGGGCAAGCCTCCAACGGTTCCACCAAAAAGTGAAAAGGCCTTGCGCAGGGCTCAGAGGCTGACATCTCACAGGATGAAAAAAGAACTGGCTAAAGTTGCAGAAAGCCCTGCGAGAGTTGATAAAGAAGCCTCCGCTTTCCCTTCCTCCATTGAGGTATGCTCCTCTAATCATTACGCTGTGGCTTCTCCTCATTTCTCTGCACCTGTTGCCTTTGCTCACGCTCCAGCGCTGGGATCTGGCTTGCCGTCGTCGCACACAGAGCACCAGCCTCATCACTCTTTCCATGCTTCCCCTCATGCCACTGGTCCAATCTCCCTTCCCATGTCCTCGCCTCACGCCGGCTCCGCTTCATCCGCGCCTCATCCCGCTTCTGGCAAGGCTTCCACACCCGCTGCTCCTAAGACAGTCGCTCATGTTTCTCCGTCTCCTACCTCCCACCTCACCAACCCCCACTCTGCTGCAGTGACACAGTACCAGGTAGAGTCAAGCCCCTACCACCCGTCCTACCCGCTGACCCAGCGCAAGGTTCTGCAAGACTTGGGTTCTGGTCAGTACTTTCTGGTGGATGTGCCTGTTCCGGTGAAAACGAAAACTTTCTTCGACCCACAAACAGGGAAGTATGTTCAGCTGAACGTGCGACGGTCTCATCCCCAGCAAAGCTTCCCTCAGGCTCATCTCCAACCCCAACAGGCCCTCCCCCAAGCATCGTTTGCTGCCAAGCCTTTTGTGTTTTACCAAGGCTACCACAGATATCCTCAAAGCCACCAGCCGGCTGTTATCAACTCTGCACACCCCAACAGGTCATCTGGTCCTCCAGCTCTYGGGGAGAGCAACATTTCAACTGAAGTTCAGCAGGACTCTGAAGGCCATCAGTACCTCCCGGAAAAGACAAACTACATGGACACAGTTAATGATGTTAGAATATACAACACGGTAAACAACTCACAGGACTTAAACGAGTCGCTCTCGGAGTGTAACTCAAACAATCAGCTTATAGGAAGTTCAGTTTGTGAAAACGATAACACCACTAACTCTCTGTGTCAGTCCCGGGACATYATAGCCATGAGTGAACTGGAGGATTTTATGGAGGTGTCAGACTGGTGACACTGAAATAAAATATAAAAAAATGTAATTGAGTGTTTATACCCCAAACAAATTGTATGTAAAAATACAAGAAATATGTTAAATCCTTCTCAAATGATATTCGATTTCTGAATTGTAGTTTGAAATTGTAGTCTGTTTCTGCTGCTTTTGTTCCTTCCAGTTTTGCTGTTTTATTTATTGTTTTAAAGAGTTCACCATTCCATTTGACTTTTGAATGTGGCAAGCTAAAACATTTCTACTAAGTTAACAGTATTAATAGTTTTTTTTCCTGTTGCACTTGGACAAACATAATACACAAAAAAAGCAACATCCTCCAACTCAAAACTGCTTTGGTGCTTTGAAAAAAAAAAAATTGTGCTACGAACACTGACAGGGCTGCTTAGGTTTGCTCTTTTTCTTGATTGTGGAAGTCTTTATCGGCTCGATGCATGAAATATTAACCATCAAATATTTGAAAATGTAAATCAAAGTTTGCAAATTCAGCAACATTATAAAAAACGAGCACATGGTGAGGTAATTGATGCTGTTTTTAAGGTTTAATTTCATACGACAGTCCATATTTTTTAAAACTTGGACATTTCTAAGACTATTTGTGTTGCTGTGAAAGTAGCATGACATTAACTTATTCACACTTCATCTCTTTGTCTCGGATGTTTAAGGTTGTAAATAAAAGAGAAAAAAAATAGTTGCAAATGTTTGACTTTATTTTAATGAAAAGAATAGTTAAGTATGTCAACTCATAATCTGAACATCGAGACAGAAATGTTTGATCAGAGGAGATTGAATGACTTTTCAAAACACTTGCTTGTGTTGACCCTATAAATAATTCAATATAAAAGTTGACTTAAGCTAATTTAAGTTAATTGTCCACTGCTCATTAACATGATTGGATGTAAAAATATCTCACCCTGCCTGGGTCTTGGAGAACAATTCACAACTGTGAAAGAAATGCACAAGTCAGCAGTTTTTAATTTTACATGTTCCTCAAGGTAATATTTCAGAGAATTTGGAGAGTTCATTATTCACAATGGGCATTAATGTCAACAGACGAATTTAAGGGAATTCTTAGTGCACAAAGGAAAGGATGAAAACCAATATTGCGCCGTTTGACTACCCTCTGCCCTGCGCACACAACAAATTAAATAAATGGGTCAGCTCATCAGCTTTGGCACCAGGCTCTGAAGAAATGTGATGACTTTTTGATTCCAGTTTGGTTCATTATAAGCGTACACATTTATGAAAGTATGGGTCAGGACYGGTAATTGGTTAATGTGCAAGAGGTGAATTGCACTCTGGACAGGTTTTCCGTCATTTATTCTTTCATACAGAGTGCCAAGCTTTTGGGAAAATGGTTGTATAAAATCTGACATTCTTTTTTGACTCTTGAAATTTACCCCTAATGATTAATTCTTATTGGTGAAACCTTTGAACCTGCACAAGATTATCCAAAGGCTATTAAAAGAAGATGATATTCTGTTTGAATCTTCTTCTGCTGCATCTAACATGTTGGATTACTGTATTTAGGAATATGCATGCTAACTGATATAGCCGAAGAGAGGATGGCTGAAACTAGTTGTTGATCCCTGAGAAGCAATAACCTGCTTCGACCACTGCAGGGCAGAGGAGAGCGATTCCTGTGCAGAAGCAAAGTCTTGAACTTTTAGGACAAAGGGGAAGAGTAACTTGAAGTGAACGCCAGAATAAAGTTTAATTTTTCCCATTTAAAAATGATCCTCAAATGATAGAGTTTAAAGTTAAGCTGATTAAAACATGCATAAGTTGCATTTTCAAGACATGATGCTTTGTTTCTCAAGGTGAGAAATAAAATAAAATAAAAAAACTTTCAGGGAAAACAGCCAGTACTTTTTTTCCACTGATTCCACACTTTTCACAATAATCTGCATGCCATTTAAAGGGTTAAATGTGTTGTGTAATTCCATTTGGCTTTGGCAGGGCTCAAAGCGCCAACAAGAAGCCCTGCCTCAGCAGTTTAGCCTGCCCAATAAAGCAGCAGGCTTCATACCACTGGGACAGTCCGACAACCACAGCCAGAGACAAGCCCATGCCACTCTGTCCAAGCAGCGAGACAGGGAGACATCTCACCACAAACACATCCATATGTGCCTGAACAGAAACAAACACAAGCCGCACACCTAAAACACACAAACTGTGATTTTTACTGGAACATGCGAGATGAGCTGACCATGGGATGTGACCGTCACCTCAAAGTTCTGGGGTGCTGGGCCCCGATCCAACACCCACTCTCAGGAACACAGGAAATGACATTTCCTACCTTTTTTTTTTTTTTTTTTTTTTGCAGGACACAGAGGGAAAAACAGAGAGAGGCTAACGGAGACAGTTGGAGAGAAGAGTGAGGGAGAGAGTGGGAGTTTCTAAGTGGGAACAGAGCCGTTACTGTTTCATATTACAGAGAAAAGAGGAGAAGAGTTAATGGTGGGTAAGGGCTCTGGTGGGCTGTGCAGTCAGGCTCTGTTTTGAATGTGGCTGCTGGTATCAGTGCTGTGCAGTTGTCTGGGTTTATGGAGCCGCTGACTGTGGAAAATGTACTTTTCTATTGTGATCCTTGTCCTGACTGAAGTTCTGGTCAGAGGTAAGTTTACCTTGTTTACAACAACTTCACCAGTAAGAAAACTAATAAACAAGCTGAAGCATAGATTGTTGCAAACCTCAGCAAAACAAAAGATTTGAGTTTTATTACGAGAGTGTCACAGGTTTCTGCACGTAAAGCTTTAACTTTGACTAAACTGCTGTTCTGTTGCAGCAAAAATCCTTGAGTTTTGTAAAGAATTTAAATACTTAAACTTTATTCTACAGTGAAAATGTTAGGATATTTTCTATAAATTGGTAATTTAAGAAAATTAGAATTTGTTTGTGCGTTGTTAATTTTCAGTTGCTTTTCCAGCTTTTGTTTTTAAATTGAGTTGTGTTGGACAGAAGTTGAGGAGATTATAAACTGACACACAAATAAGGGGGAGAAAAAATGAAATGTACCAGATGGTCCCTGTTATCTTGCATGTATCGAGTTGTTCAGCACAGAGGATGAGTGTTTCCCACCTGTAGCTTCTCTTTGCCCCTCTTCTACTGGCTGCGTTTTGGCTTTTTTTTTCCCCCACCAACAGATGTGGCCCAGCTGTTACTAGAACGAAAATCAAGCACATTCAGAAAAAAAAAACTTGTGATTTAGTGCTTTTCTCGCTTTTCAGCTTAAACTCCATTTTGTGATGTAATACTTATTTGCGTAAATGCTACAGTTATCAGGAAAACGAATCCTTGTTAAAACGAGCTCTTGAGCTCGTTTCATGTGCAGCGCATCATCAACCCTGGTTATTTACTAATTCAAAAAAGCTGAGAGGAGTCACGCAAGCTGGGTCACACWGTGACTGTGGGACTTGTGCTGGGGGTAAGAATGTGTTTCGTGGTTTGTCTTTAATTTGTTGTCATAAATCCGAAGGCCAAAACATTTGCAACTAAATATCAAACACTGCTCGTCTCACGCATGTTTGAACAAGACACACATATTGAATGGTTTTATACCTAAAGAGACGAAAAAGGGGATTTAAAAATTCTAACTGACAAAGAGAAATGTTAATATCACTTGTGTTTCGTGTCAACAGAAGTATGTCACACCCTGAATGTGACCATCACACCTGGGCCTGTTGTCGTTGTAACAGAAAGAGACAACCTGACCTTATCCTGTCTGGTGTCTCAGAGGAAGAGGAGCAACAGCGTCCTCATCCTTCGCTGGTTCTTCTCCCCTCTCACGTCTCCAACTCTCGCGCCTTCATCCTCCGCTCCGCCGCCCTCCCCCGCAGCACCCGGTCAGTTTCTGATCGTCAGGATGGGGATAAAGAGGATGAAGCTGTATGGGAACTACACCCGGGGTTTCCCGCAGCCCAAGTTCCGACTGTTTGACGACGCGGAGGGAGAGGCGTAYCGGCTGCTCATCCTCGGTGTGACGGGGATGGATCAGGGCTTCTACAGCTGTAGGGTGCAGGAGATACGAAAACACAAGAACACATGGAGAGCCTCCTCCAACGGTACCAGCACCACACAGCTTACAGGTAATAAAACAGTTTCTCAGGCATACATTTAAATACTATACCATAATAAAGTATCTATGTCACCTTTGGCTGTTATTAAAATGCAGTTTTTATGTTTAAATAGAAAATAAACTTATCTTCTCATCACTTCCTCTTCTAAACGCCTTGAAATTGGCCTCTGTCTCTTTAAGAACCACCTTTCGCTTCTGTCTTGCCCATTTGGGGGTGGGGGGGGGTGCTGCCATGATGCAGTTTACTTGGCATCTGAAAATACATTTCCTCAAAGGTATTTTTTAATCTGAAAAGAGCTTCACTGAGTGAGAACTAATGTTAGGGGCTCGCAGACAGTTTAAGTTTCACTTTCAGTTTCACCCGAGAACCTGCAGGAGTCATGGGCGGGGTGTGTTGGGAGGACGGGAGGGGGCGCTCCGCCATGAAGAAGTTCGGCTCAAAGATACGTCCCAGGGGCGTTTCTGGTCCCAAAATGTGTTTCTGGTCCCAAAAGGCGTTTCTGGTCCCCACCTGTCGTTTTGCTCCTCAGCATGGCTTCCTAAAAACGCTGCAGGATTTCTCAAACATGCATTAATGAGTCAAAGCAAGGCTTTGTGCATGTTTTTTTATGAGAGTATAACATTATAAAAAGATATAAAACACAAAAAAGCTGATTTTACATAATATTGCACCTTTAAATGGTCAAGAATAATTTATGGCTGATAATGGGACAAATGCTGACAAATGCAGAAGCAAAAGCTGTATTTATGAATCCATACGTGAGCTAATGAGCTCTGCCTCCTCTTCTGCGCATCATCTGCAAGCCTCCCTGCTTTTCCGCTCACGTAGGAGGAAACCAGGTCTCCTGATCCACCAACCATAGCGGTCAGCAGCAGCAGAGCAGAGATGCTTTTTTACACTGTAGAGAGAAGAACCTCTTAATGCTGAATCTGTAAACCAGAAGGTCGGAAAAAAATTAAGTTTCAGTGAATACTCGGCTTGTACCTTCCTCAGAAGACTGAAACTAGAAAAGTTTGAGAATGTTTCTTCCATTGTTTGTATTTTTTGTGTCTCTGAATCCATGTTTGAATGCTCTGGTGGACCGGTTTATGCATTGATGCTTTGTACAGATTAAAGACGGTGAAGCCATAAAGCAGAACATTTTAGTTCAACAACAAAGTGTAATTGTAAAATCTGAAACGTGTCCCATGTCCCAGTTTGGGTCTAGTTGGAACATGCATGTAAAGATTGCACGATTGCCCCTAAGTGTGGATGTGAACATGAACTTTTACCTGGTCCGTGTGGTTCTGGGAATTAATGAGTGTTCATTTTTGTAGGGCAAAAGTTACAATTGTCAGTCATAAATATAAAGGTAATTGTCAATATTACAGTGTTTTAGGCATTGTGATGAATTTATTTTTCAGAACCATGTGAGAAAATAGCTAAACTGTGTCTAAAACTATTTCTAAACTTTCTGCTTTTCAATATCTTTGCTCAGCAAAAACAAAGGGGAATTTTTGGTGTGTTTCCTCAAATATATATATATATNTATATATATATTCTCTTTAAAGGCACTTGTTTTCAACTGAGGCACACTGTTCAACAGATCTGAAAATAACAAAAAGGGGTTCACCTTTTTTCATTATTATTTTACTATAGAACAAGAAACACATAAGTGTTTGTAATGTATTCTGACTCTAGCTGCAATATTATTGAAGCGTAACCCCGGTCCTTTGGCATTTCCATCCCAAAACAATGACCTCACACAGCCAACAATATCACTCTATGTTCTTACATAGAGTGCACTGAGGAGGAAAATGTAGTGTTGCTGAGCTGGCAAGTTCCTATAAATCATGACGTCAGCTTTTTTTTTTCTTTTTTCTTTTTCAGGCCCAAGTAGTGTTTTGAGGGCAACAAATTTAGTTTCTGCAAAAATTACAAATGTAAGTGCAGAAACATGATTCTGAGCTGATTTAGACAGAATGTGAAAATAGTTATTCAAAAGAAATATTTCATCCTAACTGGACTGATAGATCATCAATAGGAAATTTTTCAGAAATTTGATGTAATCTTTAATTGCAAAAATGGACAAAACAAAAAAAGTTTAGGATCATTTAAAAAATACGTCTAAAATACTTATTTAATAAAAATGTTTTCTATTTTTTTACTTCAGTTTGTTTTTTGGGGGGATTATTGCTTTTTTTAAATTTGAAGTGGCCGTGTGTGACCTAGTTCCACATTTTATCTTGACCAGTTTTATGTCTGAAAAGAGTCAGACGGAGCCATACGACGACGCCCTGCCCTATATTCTGAGCCCGTCAAGGAAGCCACACAACCTCAGGCATCTTAGCCATGCATTGACCACAGAACCAGAAACACAAAAGCTGACATTATGAGGATAAACAAAAAGGAAGACGTTRCAATCCAGGGAAGCCCTCGCTCTTTAGTTTTTTAAACCCCACAAAGACCAGTGGATTCATTTTTATTCAAGCCTTAAAAGGAGACGATGTGTGATAACTCCAAATCCCACCTTTAAAGGTTTGAGTGCTTCCAGAAAAATAACATCTCATTAAAACACTGCTCTTTCCTGCAGGTTTCCAACACTGTCAGCTCTTTCGCCATGTTTTTCTTTCATTGATAGTAAAAGCAGATGAGCACGCAGCTGTACCTGCGATATGTCTTGCATAAACGTGGCGCCACTGGTCTACTGTCAAGTTTTCTTTTGTCGGCACATCTGCAGGACACATGCAGATCTAAATGCTCTCTGACAGCCAACCTGTTGACCTCAGACTGTTTGCACGGATCCGATTTGAGGCTCGGCTCGCGGTTAACCACAGAGTGAATCTTGCTCAGGTTTTCTCGTATTAGTCTGAAAGTTAGCTGCTGACTCTAAGACATGCACAAGTGAGACGGTCGTCTACTCTGTTTGAAACTGTCAGCTGTAATTATTTTTATCTCGGGTTGGCGTTACCTCACCAAACGAAAAGCCAAGTGGTTTGGGAACAAGCTTGAAGTCGTTGATTTGTATCTAATTTTTCTATTATCTGTGGGTCCTCTTCACCGTGGGAGCTAAGACATCAAATCATCACCTCTGCTTGCTCTTTAAAAAAACAGCTTCCCTGTGTGCTTTAAATAAAAAAAACCATGAAAACTGTGAAATAATTTGAAAATGAAGATGATAAACAGAGCAATGGGAACCCCCCAAACTCTGTCCAACTACAGCAACAAACCAACAGCTTGTGTGTGGTGGTATGTGTCTGCTGTGGGCTTGGAAGACTTTTTTATTTATTTTTTTCTGACAGTGGTTTATATATTTCTGGAAACCACTGTGTCTGCCTGTTGGGTCAGTGCCCACACACATCAGCAATTAACAAATATACTCCAAGAGCAATTTTATTTGCTTTATGAGCTGTTCTTGCTGAACTTGTCTTTTTATTTCTCTTTCCAACAGTGCATTTTATTTCCGAGGATGGTAACGGTGAAGTATTGTCGTTTTTATTTGCAGGTACTGTTTTCAATATATATATTTATGAGTGTGTAATTTAATCATGTTTTAATTTGATAAGTTTTTCACGAGTCTGTCTCTGATTTCAGATGTGTTCCTGTGTGCAGTGCTGATCTGCTCACTGGGCCTTCTGTCCATCTTTCTGTTCACACTTATCTTAATTTGTCAGTACTTCCACAGGCGACACAGACTCAAAGGTAACCATGTTTTTTTTCTTTAAAATAATGTTCTCACCTTGATGCTTTCAGCTAGAATTCAATGTTCCATGTTTTTTTCTCTCTCTCCCACACAGCCAGTTATCTTCTAGTCAAATGTCCAGAAAGCAGGTATTACCTACAGATGTTTTATAAAATTTTAAACAAAGCATTTAATTAAGTAAGACTGATGAGAAAGTCTACAGACAGAATTTGAACAGTAAAAAGCTAAAACATTTGTTTAAAGTGGATCCTAGGATTTTTGCTTTTTATTCTTTTAAATKATTAAATTTAGCACAAAAAGTAAGGAAATATGTGTTTATTTCTTTGTTGTAAGAACGCTTTTTGGCAATAAATCTTATACTAGACACCTGGGGGTACCAGAAGCCCAAAACAAGTGTAACAGCAAAATTATGTTTTATGTGTACAACCCACATTAACGCTCACCCCGCAAAAGCATGTTCCTTACAAATGTGGCACCATTTAAAAGGGAAATTAGCAGGCTTTTTAACAGTATAAGATAAGCAGCATGGCTGCAACAAATTAACAATCTACCAAACACAAATTTCCTTAATTTTTGTGCTAAGTTTATTCATTATTTCTTTATTATATTAAATTATTATTAAAACTKGCAAGAACATAATTTCTTGGTATCAGGAGAAATATGACCCTTTATAAATGGAATAAACGTATTAATTGTTTGCATCTTGYAGCTCAGGAGAGACTGTAACCAGCTCCAGCAGTTGCTCCAGTTCCCCCCCAAGGACACAAAGGAAAGACACAAGACAGAAAGCTGACAGGGGACGWATAGAGACACCACCAAAACCACCTAAAGAGCCACTGCCTCACATACCAACCAAAGGTGAAGGACTTCCCTGAGAATATGCTCCTTTTMTTTTCAATCTTCAATCAACCTTTTCGGGCTTGCAGCCCTTGAGGGGCTATAATTTGGGGTGCCGTTTGTAAAGTTACACTGTCATAAATTACCACCAATATTTTTGTTTTATTTAGCCTTTTATAAGAAAAAAGAACAGATTTATTTTTCAAAGTCAGTTTTTCACCATATGATTCATACATTTATAAATGTCATAGTTTATAAACTA